CTCTGGCCCCTATCCTCCACTTCTACAAGCTAGACGACCCAACCGGGGTCACATAGGAGGTGTGAGACCCCAGAGACGCGAGCAGCGCTGGAGCAGGCCCTTACCAAACGTCGCGAAGCGCACCGGGCGATGAGGGGCAACTGGAACTCAGCGACGTTTAGGGTTCTCAAAGCAGCGTGTAAGGCGGCTACAGCAGTCAAACGGGCATTTATGCCCACCTGGACGGATATGTGACTGAACTCGAAGAAATCTACAAAGATCGCGACATGCGAGGACTGTACCAACACCTCAAGTTATCAGTGGGACTCAGTGGGAGACAAGCGGGGGGACAGCAGTTCGTCGCGGATGAGAACGGCGTGTTGCCTCGGAACAGGGACGACATCCTCCAGCGGTGGGCGAGATTCTCCAGCACCCTACTCAACACCAAATCCCCCACCCTGAACCCACACATAATCGAACGAGTGACGCAGCGGCCAGAGGCACGTGGCACTCAACGGTTGGGAGATGTGCCAGATCTCGAGGAGGTGGCACGGGCAACGAAACGCCTCAAGAACTGGAAGGCACCCGGCCATGACTCCCTCCCTGCCGAGTTGCTCAAAATCGATGATGTTAGTAAAGCTTACCCCATTAGAATAGTCTAGACCACTCAGTCAGCGCAGTCAGCTCCAAATGTTAAACCATCTGTCTAGTCAGCAGTCATCGCAGTCAGCGCTGACTCGTCTAATGGTGCCTTTTTCTAACAAAGGATAGACTACACGCACGGGCTCGAATCCCAGATGTTCACTTTCACAAGCACCCTTAGTTATTTTCCTGCAGCGCCTGGCGAGGGGTCCGTCCCCGGAGATCCGAACTTCTAAATTCCCAGTGACCAGCCGGGTGGCTACGAGCCGAGAGTGTTTCTTTCAGCTCCAAATGTTAAACCATCTGTCTAGTCAGCAGTCATCGCAGTCAGCGCTGACTCGTCTAATGGTGCCTTTTTCTAACAAAGGATAGACTACACGCACGGGCTCGAATCCCAGATGTTCACTTTCACAAGCACCCTTAGTTATTTTCCTGCAGCGCCTGGCGAGGGGTCCGTCCCCGGAGATCCGAACTTCTAAATTCCCAGTGACCAGCCGGGTGGCTACGAGCCGAGAGTGTTTCTTTCAGCTCCAAATGTTAAACCATCTGTCTAGTCAGCAGTCATCGCAGTCAGCGCTGTTCGTGTGTGTGCATATGTAGGAAGGATCTGAGGAACGGTTCTGTGTGCTATACATGAAGGGTCCCGCTGTGGTACCTGTAGTAGGCTTGGATGAGTCTGCGATGCCCCCATGCTGGGTCAGCCTGTGTGGGGCACTCTCTTTCTCCTCTGTCGTGCGTTTGTCCTACGAATGTAATACAAGCAATCAACGAGGCTTTCTAGTCACTGGACACAAATACGGGCATACCCAGCAATCACTCCGGCTCTAGGAGTGCTCAACACTCAAGAGTTTCTTTCTACCTCCATCGTGCTTGCAAGGAAACGAAAGAGCCCGTGCCAGCAACATGTCGGGAGGAGTCTCGCAGGAGGAGCTCGCTGCTAAAGTGGAGAGCACGCTGACGGCGCGCTTTGAAGAACAGCAGGCCAAGGCAGAAGGGAGGATGGAGCAGCTGCTCAGTCGCTTCGAGAGCCTTCTGCCCACGCAGCCCACGCGAGACGGAGGAGGAGGAGGGTCACACGGCGCCGTGGTGGACGGGGGCGCCGTGGGGGGCGCGGTTGGAATCCCAGGGGGAACCGGGAGGGGTTACCCCGCAGGGAACCTACCCGAGACTATGGACCCTGGCGCTCGGGACAGTGGCGGCGTCAGCGATGGAGTAGCGGGTGGCACAGCACCTGAGCCTGTTGATCGCGGGAAAAGTACTCGGTCCGAGAGAGCTGGAGTATTGCATTCATGGCGATTCTGGTGAATGTCGACTTGTCGCGGAGGAGCAAATCCGCGCAATACTGCTGTGTTTTTGAAAGAGAGCTAACAACAGCGCGGCGTTGCCGCGGACACTTCATTTCTGGTTGATTTGTGAGTGATTTTTTGAGTGACCTTGCCTGTGACGAATGATACCGAAAGTTTATGAAGGGAATTCGCAGTTCAGGCGTTTCTATTTCTGATTTGGTGTTCGTAGAGCGTCGTAGTTTCGCAAACTATGATACAGCCAATGATGATGTTTTCGAAAGGTGAGTCGCGTTCGGGCGTTTCCGTTCTTGAGTGTGAGTGTTTTGTTGAGCAACAACTGTAGTTTGTCTTCATTCGATGATATACCCGAGCGTTTATGGCGGTCTTATTCTCGGAGGATAGTCTAAGCTAGATGAGCGTGAGGCCTTTGTAAGGTAGGGAACCCACCATACCCAGCCCCAACACTCCACGCGCCCAGATGTAGGGGGGGCACGTAACGCAAGTTCTTACAACTGTGCTTTCCAGATGTAGGGGAAGGTACTAAGACGCGCCCCCAGATGTAAGGAGGGTAGCGCAAAATTTCGATGGTGTGCTCTCCAGATGTAGGGGAGGGTACTAAGACGCGCCCCCAGATGTAGGGGGGGTAGCGCAAAATTTCGATGGTGTGCTCTCCAGATGTAGGGGAGGGTACTTACACGCGTCGCCAGATGTAGGGGGGGTAGCGAAACAAAGTAAATTTCGAAGGTGTGCTCTCCAGATGTAGGGGAGGGTACTAACACGCACCCCCAGATGTAGGGGGGGGGGTGTACTCATAGTCGTGCATGCCGTAGTCGTTAGACCATTGACCTCGCATCCCTACAAAGCCGGGACGGAGCACGCCGGGTTCTCACCGGACCAGGCTCTCACATCACCAAGCGCGAAGCGCCGTGAGATATTCGGCGAGTCGCATGAAGGGTGCGCTGCATCCTGCTAAGGGTGTTCGGCATCTTGTGCTTACTTCCTTGCGTACAGATGACACCTGCGTATGAATTAATTTACTTTCTGGTGCTTTCACTTCCAGAGACAGTTGTAAGCACTGTGTAACTGCCTCGAGGGTGCTTGACCATTTTAACACAACGTGGTGCGATCATCCCCCTTGCGCGGAGTGAGGGTTCTCCACCCCGCACAACATGATCTACTCGACCACCATTATGGTTACCGCCAAAAAAAAAAACGGAGGTAAAAAAAAAAAACACGGTAACCTGGTTGCCGAGTTCACGAAGTGAATTGGCTTGTTTTACAACGTCTTTGCCAAGCGACGAAAACCCAATCCCGATGGCAAGCACCGATGGGGGGGGGGATGTAGGGGGGAGAGCGCAAATATCTAACAGGTGTTATCTCCAGAAAAAAAGAAGGGGCATCTGTACGCGCCCCCAGATGTAGGGGGGGCAGCGACAGCAGACGCACCCCAGACGTGGGGCAGTAGTTTCTTAACTGGCGCGTTCCCAGATGCAATGGGGGCGACGCGAGTCCACGCTCTCCAGATGTAGGAGAGGGCAGCAGTTCTTCACCAGCGCGCCTCCAGATGTAGGGGGGGCGGCGCGGGTCCACGCTCTCCAGATGTAGGGGAGGGCAGCAGTTCTTCACCAGCGCGCCCCCAGATGTAGGGGGGGTGACGCTGGTCCACGCTCTCCAGATGTAGGGGAGGGCAAATTTTCTTCACTGGCGCGCCTCCAGATATAGGGGGGGGCAACACGGGTCAAAGCTCTCCAGGTGTAGGGGAGGGCAACATTTCTTCACCTCCGCGCCTCCAGATGAAGGGGGGGCAGCGCAGGGTTTTCGTTTGTGCCGTTCTCCAGATGAAGGGGGGAACTGCACAGTCATCACAGATCTCCGCCAACGCGCTTCCAGATGTAGGGGGGGCGGAGTGGGCATTTGTCGTTGTAGTCGGCGCGCTTACCAGGGTGGCGAGCAGCAGCAGGGGTTTTTGCGGGTGGGTGGGAGGAGCCGGAGTCCACTTGGCAATGGAGAGAAGACCCCCGCAGAGACCGACAAATCCGATTGGTACCTGTAGCCGAGAATACTGGTAGCAATTTGAGTTTTCTTGTGTGTGGTCGCACAATATGGGAGGGCATCCTATGTGACGTTAACCTGATGTTTGTGAACGTGCATGTCTCTGACGACCTACCCTCAACAGCCGCTACCTTGTTTTGATCGTATCAACGTCGTTCCTTGCTGTTCGAATTGAAGGCCAGATGTCGCGGGAGAGCACAGCTGTGTTTCAGCTAGCGTTGGTATATTGATGTTTGTTCTTCCCTGAAAATGCTGAGATGATCATTCGAACCATCGATGTAGTTTGGTCCGCTTGGTATGTCGCCATGAAAGGGAATTGGAATAGCTGAAATAAAATGCCAACGCAGCGCTGTGTTTCGCCTTCGTTTGTAG